TCTCTCTCTCTCTCTCTCTCTCTCTCTCTCTCTCTCTCTCTCTCTCTCTCTCTCTCTCTCTCTCTCTCTCTCTCTCATATACACACACACACATACACATATGTTGCGCACCTGTCGTACACCCCATGTACAATTACCAAGAAGTCGATCAAAAAGCTAGGCCAGAGAGGTCAAAGGTGGTGAACACGAACAGCTCGGATTTGTACATGAATTGGCCTGGAGGATGGCACGTACATAAAGGTTATATTTCGACGACAAGATTGTCACATTGGCAGGGTGCTTGACCCGCGATGACTTCGATGGGACAAAGGTGACCTCCAAGGATGATCCACCTGCATCCAGAATGAGGGAAATATTAGCACACCATGGCATAGGCCATTCCATGACGTTATCGCAAGTGCCAAATATATCCACTATTGCAGTAGTATTGCCAGTCTATTGGTAGTTTAATAACGTATTGCATTTTCTGTTCACATTCTTGCATGCTGTTTGCCTAATATCTCTTGATATTTAGAACACTATACATAAAGGTTACGCTTCGATTGGCAGGTTCCATGACCCGTGATGGCTTCGATGGGATAACGCTGACCTCCAAGGATGATCCACCTGCATCAACAATGAGGGAAATATGAGCACACCATGGCATAGGCCATGACATCATCTCAAGTGCTAAAGAAATCCAGTATTGGTAGTTCAATAATCTATCGCATTTCCTGTTCACATTCTTGCATGTTTGTTTGTGTAATATCTTTTGGTATTTGGATACTACCCCCTCAATCCCCCAACAGTCTGATGCCACCCTCACTGTTAGGATGATGTACTCCAGTCTTCCACAGTCTGAAAGGGATAGAAAGCTTCAGACTTCACTTACAGAAATTGAGAGTGAAAGAGAGAGCAACAGAAAGGGAAACGGGAAAAGAAAAAAGGCAAAGAAAAGGAGGAGAAATTGAGAAGGAAGAGAGAAGAGGCCAGCAAAAAAGTGAGCAACAAGGAATAGGAGAGAGTGAGGGAGATACAGACTAGGGAGAGACAAGAAGATAGAAAGTGGGCTTGGCTTCATGATTAGAGGCCAAACTTCCACCAAAGGCACCGGATGAAGGTTTCAAGCTCTCAACAAACACAACGCACTCTCATCATGACTTTATCGGACTCGAAAACACCCTGCATACATTCATGATCAGGGTACATTGAGTTAAGGGGAAGATGGTAGTTACATCGGTACTCTAGATCACTTCCACTGAAGAGAGCTGAGAAATGGCAGTGACGAAGCATGTATGTGACAGCGTGGATGCCAATTGTCGGATTGTCTCAACCCTTGAAAAGGGAACCAATGTATGCCACTTTTCATAGTCGTTGGGGAGGACTTTTAAGGTGTTAGTGTTGCAGATGGACTAAAACCGAGCGACCTCTAAGCTATTTTAAAAGATCTTGAGAGGATTCACGCGCCTTAGAGGTCCGGCGCTGACCGGGTCCCATTTTCATTTGTATCATAGGGCCGAACATAGAAGTTCCCAGTAGGTACTATACAGGCCAAAATAGAGATCCTATCGTCCCTAAGCAGAGATCTGACACATGTCAGTCCCGGTCAAGTCCCAGCTCAGTCCCAGGAAGGGCCTAGGGACAGTCCGCACCTTTGTCGGTTGTAGCAAGGCTCGGTACAGGACCGACAACGCCAGCCAGTTTGAGGCACCTGCATACACAAAAGAAAGGCCGCAGCCAGAAACCTCTTCTTTGATTCTGGCTTATGTGGAAGCGCCACTGCGTATTGTACGCCAAGCCCCAGGACGTGTGAAGAGTGGCTGCTGAGGAAGTTGGACAACGGCGCAGTGTGCCATAGTTGTAGGATAGCGCAGTAGTGAGAGAGAGAGAGAGAGAGAGAGAGAGAGAGAGAGAGAGAGAGAGAGCTGAGCACAGTAGTACATCGAGAAGAGAGAGAGAGAGAGAAGAGAGAGAGAG